TCTGTGAAAAATTTTCTCGCGGAGGAAAATTAATATCTATTTATAAAAAATTAATTTCTGTATAGTAAATTAATTTCTATATAAAAATTTTACGAAAAATTTGGTTATTAAATTTTTTTTTAGATGAACATTAATTTCTATATAGAAATTCAACAGGAAGTTATTTATTAAGATTTTTTTCCGAGAGAAATTTATGTTTATATAGAAAATTTATTTCTATGTAGCAAAACGTTTTCAGTATAAAAAATTTATTTCAGTATAAAATGTCTATTTCCATATAAAAAAATTAATTTCTTTATAGAAAATCAATTTTAAAAGTTTTACAACTTTTTTTTGCAGTCTGATGTAGTATTCTTTTTTATGGACTCAAAATAAAAGTGAATTGATTTACGTTGATAGTAAACGTTATGAACTTCACTGACGCTTTGAATTTAAAAAAATGTACATTGAGCCAAATAAAAAAAAAAATTCGTACAAAATTTGATATTCAGATTGAAACTAATTGGGTGAAAAATAATTTTCAAAAAGAAATACTTAAAAAAAACTTTTTAAAAAAATTATGGAAGTGTTTAAAAACTGATTGTAGTATTTAGAAAATAATCAAAGTATTCAAAAAATGATTGAATTTGAATCTGAATTGCTTGAAATTAGAATTTTAAATAAAAACCAAAATAACTTTATGACTGGGGCAAAAATAATTGGTAACGAAAATTAAAACAAATAGAAGTCAATTTTCATTGTTGTAAATATTCATCGCTTGTTTTTTCGTTTTTACTTCTCGCGTATAACTTAAATTTCCTTTTACTTTTTTTCTGTACATCGACACAACTAAGTAACCTACAATTACGTTTATCTAGAAATAATTACTTTTTGGCTAGAATGACTTTTAGCTACGTCGAGGAAAGTGAAATATCTCTTTAATATATATTTTAAAAAGAAAAAAAAAGAAAATTTCACCCTTTTTTCTAAATAGGAAGATTCGGATTTTCTCAAGTTTCAATATAATTTTCGAAACTTGTGTTGCTTTCTTTAATAACATATTTATAGTTAATTATAGAAATTATAATTTTTTAATTTTTAAATTAATTATAATCAATTAATGAATTATAATCAAATAACCAATTATGCAATCAATTAGTCAAGTAATTAATTAACCAATTGATCAATCAATCTATCAATAAATTAAGTAGTTAATTAATTAATTAATTGATTAATTATATTCATCATAATTATTCTATTTGATAGAATTTATTTAACCGGATTTATTTTTATTTTCACTGTCTTTTTTTAGGTCTAGTAAAAATTTATCGTGTTCTTAAAAAACTATCCTCTTTGTTCGAGAGTCACTTTTGGCACTCTGAGAAATATTCGAACAAAATGTGGCTATCCAAAAATTTTTCAAATAAAATTTGTCCCTTTCTTTTTTTCTGCATTTTTTCTTTCTTTTCGTTTTTTTTTTTTTTTTAGAAAGTCAGTACCCTCAGTAACATATTCGTGATATTTCATTTATTCGGTTTTTAATCGTTAGTCTTCATTAGCGTTGATTTAATTAGCTGCGTTAGTCTCATGGGCAAAAAGAAATTCACAAAATTCGGTGAAATTTTATAAAGGAAGAAAAATTACTTTTTAGATTCACTTTTTCAATGTTTTTAGTTAATGAATAATAATTGTGATTTATAATAATAGAGACGAATAATAATAGTGACTGATAGTAATAAAATTTTTTCTATTTTGCTTCTAAGTTTTGACCAAATTATTGCTGACAATTCTCAGGTCGATAGCAACGACCAGCATCGCCTAAAAAAAATTTTATTCGAAAATTCCTTTTGCCTTTCGCTCTCATTAAAGACGTTGTGATTGCAAAAAAAAAGAATTGCCCCACTTTTGAAAAAACGCTCGATTTCTTTCCACCACAAAAGAAAATCACATTTTCTTTTTTTGTTGCGATTTATAAAAGTAAAGATGAAAAATTTTTCAGAGATAAATTCTTTTCAAGAACAATAGAAACTGAAAAATTCTTTTTAAAAACAATAGAAACTGAAAAATTCTTTTTCAGAAACAAAAGAAACTGAAAAATTCATTTCAAAGATAAATTTTCTCAGGAACAATTGAATAGTAACTGAAAAAAATTTCAGGAACTAAAAGAAACTGGAAAAAAAGTATTCAGGATATAATAGAACAGAAATTGTGAAAAAAAAGAACTCAAGGAATAATAGAAAAACAAAACAAAATCAATTTACAATTAAAAATATATTAAAAAGAAATTAATACAGTGTGAAAGCCAAAAAAAAAAAAATGTTCCAATATAGGAATATAATTGGGACTAAAATTATACAAAATTCACCGAGATATCAGGAATCTTATATGATAGTAATAAAAAATAATAATTGCTAGTTAAGAAAAAACGTTTCCTGATTTTTATCTCATTTGTATATTTTTTCTCTCTTGATTTACTTTTTCTTTCTTTTCCTCTCTTTCTGTCTCTCTCACTCACTCTTACTGTCATTCTCACTCTCACTGTCACTCTTACTCTTACTCTTACTCTCACTTTCCCTTTCTCTCTTTCAATATTTTCAAACATAGTATTTTTCTTTATACTTTCTGAACTTAGATACTTGATAATTAGCATAATTAATGATTTATATTACGTATTCAATATTAATTCATAATTGTGTGATAAGTTCAATATCACTATTTACTTTTTCTTGTAATGAAACGATTTTCTATTTTTTTTTATTTTTTAATATATATTTATATATAAAGTGATATAAAACCGGGATCGTTTTCTCAAAGGCGCGGGCTGGACGCTGTCTCTAAAGCGAATTATGTCGCACGAGTTTTGCAGATCCTTAAACAAAATAACATGGCCGCGTTAACGTACAAACTAATAAAATGTAAAAAAACAACGTTATCGATTATCTAAGTAACAAACAATAGTATTTTTCATTAAATCCCCCTCATACGAAGTGGTATTCTACAATGCTTGAAATGACATTTTTTCTTTTAATACATAATTATTTATTTTTTTTTTTTTGCAATATATATGTAGCTTGAATAATCGGATGAGACGGGGGGAGGAAGTGAGTGGGGGGACTTGCCACTTTTTTTCCGAAACTGCGTGCACGGATTTTGCATTAAAAAAAAAAAAGGAAAATTTATTTTTTGTTCTCTATAGCAAAATGCACGGGAGACGGCGACATTTCTCAGTGGACGCCAATGGATGAAAAAAAGCGTTCATTTCAAAAATTATTGTGAAATGAAGCATTTTTTTGTATGTTTGTTAAGTTTTCTTTGACTCGATCAATTTTTTTTGATAATTTAAACTATTTACTTGGATCAACAATCGAAATAAATAGTTTATTTATTTCCGCTGAAAGTCAAAATGAATAATTTATTAATTTATTTAGATGTTCTTTTTTTAAAGAAAATTATTTCGACTAATAGTTTAAATAAAGTTTAAACAATTTAACTATTTATTAATAGTCTGAATAATTAAATAATTAATAATAACAATTTATTACTAATTCATTGATTATTTATTTAGACTAACTGACTATTATTAAATAATTATAATAATAATTTATTAATAATTTATTAACCAATTTTTTAGACTATAGGTCGAATGAATAGTTTATTTATTTGAACTAATATTCGAAATAAATAGTTTAAATAATTAAACTATTTATTATCAGTCAAAATAAGTATTAAACAATTATTAATAATTCATTCTGGTTAATAGACAAATTAATAGTTTATTTATTTAAACAAATAGTCTATTTTTTTAAACAAAAATAATAATTTATTAATAATTTATTTTGTTCAATTTATTTATTCATTTATTTTTTCACTGCGAACGAAACAAATGGTTTATTTATTTAAACTAATAGTGTAAAAAGAATATTTAAATAATTAAACTATTAATGGCCTAAATAATTATTTAATGACAATTACTAATAAATTATTAATAGTTCGTTTTGGCTAATAGTCAAATCAATAGTTTATTTATTCAAACAAATAGTCAAAGTAATTATTAATAAAAATAATTTATTAACAACTTATTTTGGCCAATAGTCAGATTTATTTATTCATTTATTTATTGGGACTAAAATGAATAATTTATTTAAACAAATATTTTAGACAATTAAACTATTTATTAACAGTCTGAATAATTATTAAATAATTAATAATATTTTATATTTATAAATTTATTGATAAATTATCATTATTATTAATTTTCTAATAATTATTATGACTAATAGTTTAAATAAATTGTTTAATAGTTATTTAGACTAATATTTTTAATAAATAGTTTAATAATTATTTAGACTAATATTTTTTTAAATAAATAGTTTAATAATTATGTAGACTAATAGTCTAAACAAATGGTTTTTTTTTCGTTCATTTCGACTTTAATGACTTTAATTCAATTTTTGTAATTATTTCAATTGTCTAAAAAAATTTAACTAAAGTTCACAATTAATATTGTCGTTTGAGAAAATATTACAAACATTGATATTTATTAAACCTTTTTCAAAAAGACATTTTTCTTGCAAAATGCAAATAAAAATTTTTATTTCTAAAATTCATTCAGAATTTTTAATAAAAAATCAACTTTTATTAAAAAAATAAATTTTTAATTAAAAAAAAAATTGGTGTTTTTCTTTTTCTTTTAAAAATCGAGTCTTGTTAAAAAAGGTTAAAATTGATCTTCATTCTCTCGAGTCAAAATGAAAACTTAAAAGCATACCTTCAGTCAAAACACCAAAAAAATGTCATTTTAAAAAACTAAAAATTGCCTAGGAAATATATGCTAATGATGGATTTATTCAAATACGATTAAATCAATCTTAAAAATGACGTTTAAGCCTTCGGAGAATGATTTTCCACGTCTCAGCGGGCGTCCGCGGTGAAACATGTCCGTCAGTCTCGAATATTGGTTTATATTTTTTTTTTCATTTTTTCTTTTCTATCTTATTCTTTTTTTTTGTAAAAAAACACGATTTTGTCTATTTAACGTTTATTTTAAATCGACCCTAATCATTATTAATTATCACCGAAGTCATCGGAGCGAAGTCTGCGGTACAAGCGCTCACCTTTTATTTTGTTATTTTCTGTTTTTTTTTTTTTGTTTTTTGTAAATTTTTTTATTCTTGATTTAAGTAGGCCATCTTCCCCTGATATTTTTTTGTCAGTATGTGTTCTTTAACGTAATTTTTTAATACATTAATTGTATTAAAAGTATCGTTAACGAGAAAAAAGTGTTTTTTGTGTTTTTGGTTGTGTGTATGTGTTTGAATGTTATTTTTTTTTAATTGAAAAAAATGTATCTAAAGTAACGTTGCCCGGAGTAAAGTCAGCAGAGGATTCAAGGAAAGGTGGTCTCCCGCAGTGTTTAGGCGGTTTACTAGACTCCCTAGTGGTTACGGCCACTGACTGTACAGCTGAAATTGTTCGCGAGTGAAACAGGACGAGAGGGGCTTCACAAAGTGAGCGTCCATTGTTCTGCAGTGTGGACAGGCGAAAACACGACTATAATCTGAGTAGAAGTTTAGTCGCTGATGAGGGTGAATCAAGGGCTTCTGGCAGCTGTTGCACTGTAACAGAAAGAAAAATTAAATCAAAAATTTTCTTCTTTGGTTTAGAAATGTTTGTTAATTTTTTTTATTTTTATTTACGTTCTTTTTCAATTAAATTTCAATTCTGCTTTTTTATTTATTTATTTTTTCTTTTATTTCTCTTTGATTCTATTATTTTTACTTTTGTTCAATTCAATTTCAATTCAACCTTTTTACTTGTTTTTTTACTTTTAATCTTTTTCAATTCTTTTTTCAATTTTATTTATTTTGTTTTATTTTTCTAAAAAATTGAATTCCTTCGAGAAATTTTGAAATTGTATTGAAAATAATTGAATTCTTGCAAAGAATTTTATAAAAATGTTTGAAAGTAATTGAAATTTTTTGAAGAATTTCTTTGAATTTTTGGAAATTAATGGAGTGTTCACAATAATTTTATTTGAAAATTTATAAGTAATTGAATGTTATGGAGAATTTCTTTCAAGTTTTTAAAATAATCGTGTTTCTAAATAATTGTTATTAAACTTTTACTCTTTTCTAATTTTATTTTTTTTACTTTATTTCTTTTTCAATTTAGTTTCAGTTCTACTTTTTTTCCAAATTCCTCAATTTTCTTATTTTTATTTCTGTTATTTAAAATTTAATTTCAATTCTACTCTTTAACTCATAATCTTTTTCAAATTCTTCAGTTTTATTACTTTTAATTTTGTTATTTTTAATTACATTTCAATTCAATTTTTTTTGCTTGTTTTTACTTTAGTTCTTTTTCAATTTAATTTAAAACGCTACTTTTTTACTGCTGCTCCTTTACTTGTATTCTCCTTTTTTTTACTTTTATTCTTTTTACAATTTTATTTTTCATCTGAATTTTGATAATTTTTCTTCCATTTCTTTATAATTTCAAAGTTTCTTTTTCCATTTCTTATTTTTTTGTTCGAATAATCATCATTTATATTTTATTAATAATAAAAATTAATAATTAATTAAATTGATTTATTAATAGTCTCTGTATTCCAATAATTTTTCTATATTTAAATGTTTTGAATTTTAAAATTAATATTAAAAATCATTAAATTCTTATTTCGAAAAATCTTATCAAACTTTTTGAATTAATTTAATTCAAAGAATTTTATTTAAATTTTTAAAAATAATTGAATTCTTTAGAGAAATTTTTTGAAGAATTTCTTTGAATTTTTGTAAATAATTGTATTCTTTGGAGAAATTTTATTAAAACATTGAGAATAATTGAATTCTTTCATAGAATTGTTTTAATTTTTTGAATAAAATCTATTTTGTTAATAATTGTAATTAATAATTTTATTATTAAATTGTTTTGAATAATTTTATTAGAATTTCCATAAATAATTCAATTATTTTAAAGGATTTCTTCAATATCTTTGAAAATAGAAGAAATTTTATTTAGGATTGTACTAAACAAAATTAAATTCATAAGAAGAAATTTATTATTTATGAAAATATTTGAATTCTTTTGGAAAATTTTATTAAGGGGATTTGAACCTTGATGACGTCACAGTTTGTGCAAAGCATTAGTTTTAAATCTGTGACGTCATCATGGTTCAAATGCCCTTAAACATTTTTTTAAATAATTGAATTCGAGAAATTTTAGTAAAATTGTATTAAAAATAATTGAATATCCAAAGAGGAATTTAATTACATATTTAAAAAAAAATTATTTAACTATTGCGAAGAATTTCATTAAAATTTTAGAAAATAATTGAATTCCTGCGAAGAATGTTATTGTTTATGAAAATAATTGAAATTCTTACAAAGAATTTTATTAAAATTTGTAATTAATTTTTATTACTATAAATAATAATAATAAACAACAACAATTAATTATGTATTTAATAAGTGGATATTTTAAATTTTGAATTTGAAATTATTCAAAAGTGGAAGTGGATATTTAAAAATAAAAATTTTTGTTTTCTTTAATGAAGAAAAATTGAAAGTTTTTTTGAAAAAGAAAAATTAAATAGAAAAGAAATTTTAATAAAATTTGTACAAATTCTAAATGATGGATGAAGAAAAATTACCTTTAAACGATCGGTGCAACATGGCATGGCGGCGAAAATATCATAACTATACATTGTCCCCAGGACCAGACTGGAGCCATCCCAAGGTTGGGTGCAAGAACGACAACGAACTGGAGCGTTTCCGCTACCCTCCAAGCAACCCATGCAAACGGCCGACAAAAATTGTGTGCGACCCTCGACTTTCACCTGTAAATACATAAAATACACCAAAAATTTATTAATAATTGCAACACAAACACAAAATTACCGTCAAATAGTTTATGTTTTTCTAATTTAAAAATTATTTATTTAAATATTGGAAAATTAAATTATGAAACTAAATTGTAAGGGACTAACTCTTAACTAACTAAATTATAGAACTAAATAAAAATATGTTTTAAAATATTTTAAAAATATTTTATTTAATATTTTAATAAAAATATTTTAACTATTATAATTATAATTTACTTTGCAAATATTAATAATAATAAAATAATAATATTAATAATATAATAATAATAAAAGTAATAATAATAAAAATTAATAATAATTAATAATCTAATTGTTAATAAATAGAAATTTTTTAAAGAAGAAAAAAAATGTATAAATTTATTCTTACTTTCTCTCTTCATTGTTTTTATAATTTTAAAATAAGTAAAAAATGTAATTGAATTTAAAGATATCTCGATAGTCATTGATACTGATCCCGAGTATATGTACTTAGCAAGAGAAATTGTTTTCTGACCAAAAGCTTAGCCGTGTCTGGTTTTTGCAAGTCGAATAAGTCAGGATAATAGAAAGAAAAGAAGAATGATAGGAGGGATAAAAAATAGAGACGCAGACTTAAAGGGAATGAAAAAAAGAAAGAAGAGCCAACCTCCTCTTGTGTCAATGTCTTAATGGCCGAGTGTTTGTTCTCAAAACTCGAGAGTCATCACTTTCAGTCACACAGAAAATTGCAGAAAGTGAAACGTGTCTGATGAGTAAAAAAAAAAGAAAAATCTATTTTCCTTCCTCTTTTCTTTTAAATTCATCTCTATAGAGATGAATATAAAAAAAGGAGAGATTGGTTCAGTTTAATTTAAACTTTAATTTTTATGCGGATAAAAATAGAATTTTACATTTTTTTTTAAATATTCAAAACGTCTTTAATAAACAAAACCAAATTTTCGATACGTGTAAAAGTAGCCTCCCAGTGTAAAAAAATTAAATCTTTTTAGAGTTCTGACTTCCTCTGCAATAGTTTGGTAATTTTTTTTTAATTTCTAGTAATTTATTTGCAATGGCAAATAAATTACTAGAAATTCAAAAAAAATTATTTATTTGCAATTGGAAATAAATTACTAGAAATTCAAAAAAAAATTTATTTATTTGCAGCTGCAAATAAATTACTAGAAATTCAAAAAAAACATTATTTAATTGCAATTGCAAATAAATTACTAGAAATTCGAAGAAAATTTATTTAATTGCAAATGCAAATAAATTACTAATAAATAATACGAATAATAATTATATAATATTAATAATAGTTTGAATTTATTCTTACCTCAGCGCAGGCGTGAGAGTGTTGCCTTGGAGACAGGAAGAAGGTACCATCAACGAGAGGATACCTATCAAAGACTAGCATCGCTGTTCTGCAAAGGACACAGGACACCCTGGACCACTGCAAAGCCGCTAAGGTCGAGAGGATAAAGCATCTCGTGTCATCGTTCCCATGGTTACCTTCATCTTCCATCTGTAAAATGAAAAAAAAAAAATGTTTTTTAGTTAACAAGGCCAAAATAAAAAACAGGTGAGTAAACAAAATATTTTATTTTATTTATATTCTATGTTTTAATTGTCTAAATGAAAAAAAGTAAATTTAGGGATCGTTCACATATTACGTGAGGCAAATTTGAAAATTTACCCCTTTCCTCCCCTTAGTCAAATTTTATTACATAGAAATTGGTTACAAAACAATTTGCATACTGTATATAATTTTAAACTCAATTGCATTGAGTATTTTTTAATTATTTTTTCCTGGTTAAGTAGAACGACTCAGTGTAAAGTCAGACGAAATAAATATTTCTCTTCGCAACTCAAGGTAAATGAGGAAAATTTTTTTTTAAACCAATGATTTTTTGAGTCAACAAATATTTTTATATTTGTTATAATATATTATGTGTTTATTTATATTTATCTTTTGAATATATAGAAGAACATTTTATAAGAAAATGATTCTTTTTTGTAAAAATAAAATAAAAAATAAAGCCAAACGTGTGCGTAATGAAATAAGACACACTTTTCAGTAGAACAAGTCAACGAATGTTCAGGCGCAAATTTTTTTGTTTCTGAAAATTTTTATAAGAAATTATAATCGCTGGTAAAAAAGCAAGTTACCTTTAATCAGAACTGTTATTTGTTTAATAAATACTGTGAATTGAAAAAAAAAATTTCGAATTTCGGAAAATAATTTCTGTATCTACAAAAAAATTGCGGATTTGAAAAAATTGATTTTTTCCAATTTTCAAATCATTTTCATTTTTCGTATTAAAAAAAACATCGTTTTTAGGTTGAAAATGCTAAAAAATACCATTGGTATACAATTTTTTTATAAATGGAAATTTACTTTTTTATTTTTCTAATTTCTAATTTTTTTATATTTTTAAATTTTTATTTTAAAAAATTATGATTTTAAATTAGTAAGAAAAATAAACAAGTGAATTTCCATATAAACAATTAAGTAACAATAGTATTTTTTATCATTTTCAATCTTAAAACAATATTTCTTTTTCAAAAAATGCTTCAATTTTGAAATCTATCAATTTTTGAGAAAAATAAAAATCTAAAATAGGTTAGAATATTTTTTGACCATTGATTTCCTCTCAAAAAATTACTATATTATAAAAATAATTTTTTGGAACATTGAAATTATTTTCTTGATATAGTTAAAAATGTAGTCGAAGTCCACGTTAAATAATCAGTGAATGTTGCTAATAAATTAGTAGAAATTTAATTATTATAGTAATTATAATTAAAATTTATAGAAATTTAAATAGTTATTGCATTTTACTAATTAATTACTAGAACTTACTATTTATTGGTAAAATTTACTAATTTAAAAGCAAAAATTTATTCACTTATTCAAATAAAACATTATTTTAATAATTTAAATTTAAGTAAAACAACTCAGTGAGAAGTCGGACAAAATAAAATTTTCCCGGACAAACTTTGTAATTCTAATTAATTTTTACTGATTTTACTTATTGATGTTTACTAATTTAAATTTAAGTAGAACAACTCAGTGTAAGGTCAGACAAAATAGAATTTTCCCTGACAAACTTTGTAATTCTAATTAATTTCTACTCATTTTATTCATTCATTGGTGTTTACTAATTTAAATTTAAGTAGAACAACTCAGTGTAATGTCAGACAAAATAGAATTTTCCCTGACAAACTTTGTAATTCTAATTAATTTCTACTCATTTTATTCATTAATTGATTTTTAATTATTTAAATTTAAGTAGAACAACTCAGTGTAAAGTCAGACAAAATAAAATTTCTCCTGACAAACTTTGTAATTCTAATTAAAATAAAATAAAATAAAAAATACATGTAAAAATAAAATGCAAACAAAAAATACAAAAATTACACGCAAATAGAAAAATACAAAAACATAAAATATTAAAATACTCTCTAAATTTGAATTAATAAAAATATTTAGTAATTTTAATTAGTGACTGACTTTTTGCTTTTGAATTAGTATATTTTCCTTGTAATTTAATAGAAATTACTAATTTATTAGAAAATTTAGTAGAAATAACTATTTATTAGAAAATTTAGTAGAAATTACTATTTATTAGTAAATTTAGTAGAAATTACCATTTATTAGTAAATTTAGTAGAAATTACCATTTATTATTAAAATTAACTACTTCAGAAGTAAAAAATCAATTACTAATTCAAATTTGAGAATAGAAACCGCCTATTTTAAAAATCAAATTTGAAATTAGGAAAATTCGACATCAAATTGAAATGTACGCATAAAAAGAGTGATATTAAAGAACAATAAAACAAGTATGAAGGCCAATGGGAAATATTTTTTTAAGGGTGGAAATTAAATTTTACAGTTGTGCACGTGCATTAAGGGAACGAAGTTTGCTTCTGGTTTTTCCACACTGTTTTTTTACTTTTTAGAGTCTGGCACAAGTTTTAAGGCCTTCCCTCCTATATATCTATATGTAAGGGTGTTATAACACGTTCCTCTCCCCCCCCCCACCCCAACCCCTTTTTCAGTATTATGACCGTGGTGGGGAGGGTTATTTACGATGGTTATAAATGTCCAGATCTTCCGCAGTTAGTCCCGCACAACCACCCTTCGGTACCGCCCTTTGACGATTTAACGACTGAGGCGGACGTTGAGGCAACCTTTGTTGACATCGTGCCATTATTGCCTGAGCTTACGAGTCGCGAGACGCCGACGAAATATTCAGATTATGTAGCCTTATACTTGATTACGAGCTTCCTTGTAATATGTACGCCTCTCTCTCTCTCTCTCTCTCACACAACAACTCCTCTCCGTTTATTTAAGATCATAAAGTAGAGGAACGATAACTCAGCATCCATCCGGCAAATAATGGATTGCAGGAGGGTTGAATATTTCTGTTAGAGTACTTAAAAAGTTAAAATAGTGATAATGCTGATGATAGTGTTGTAGCCCTTTTCATAATTCTCCCTTTATTTTTTTCTCCTGTATAAATATAAAGTTGTTTTAAACTTTTCCTTCAAGGTCGAAATAGTTTGTTTTTATGTAAATTTTCATTGTAATGAGTTGGATATTTTGATGGATTAATATTCTCGGGAGGGCAGAAAAGTTTCTATTTTTTAATTACACTCTTGTTTTTGCAAGTTTTTTTATGTCTCTGAATTTTATCATCGACTCTCAACGTTCAAAATTATTATTTAATGCTTTTTATGATAAAAAAAGGCACTAATTTTAAAGAAAAACTAATTTGTCTGACTATACACTGACTTGTTCTACTTGAAATTATGTAATCCAATCGATGGGAGTGTAACAATGCTGGAAAAAGTACTTAAAACTTAAAAGTATAAATAGTGTTAATACCATTTAAAAAACGAGTAATTTTGAAAAAAACCTAAAATTAGCCTTCGTCTGATCGTACATTGACTTCTACTACTTAAAATTTAGAAATACTTTCTCTACGAAAAGCAATTAGAAGATTGATGTTCATATAAATGCAATATATTTGTAACTCTTAGTTAACAAAAAAAGAAAAATCAAGTCCAAGTGAAAAATGAACCGTCTGACTACAAACTGACATGAACTACTTAGAATTAAAAATTAGCAAAGATAGTAAAAAAGCGAAGATAGTAAAAAATATTGATAATTATTTTTTATACCCCAGAATACTTTTTACGAATAATAATATTCAATTCGGAAATTAATTGTCTGACCATACACGAAGATACTCTACTTAAAAATAAAAAACCTGACACGTTGTGTATAAAAGTAAAAATATTTAGAGTAAAAAAAGTAAAAGAAAAATATTTGGAGAAAAGTATTTTTAATTTTAATTTCCAAAGTCGAAGTTCAACGAAGAAGTGCGTTTCGTCTGACCACGTCTTGACCTGATCTACTTAAAAATAATAATATTTGAAACTAAGTGACAAAAATTTGTAAAAAAAAAAAAGAATTCAATACTAGTTTTTACTTTGAGTTTACTATAAAGTAAATGTTTAAACTTGGAAATAATTTTTGTCTGATCACATAATGACCTGTTCTACTTAAAAAGAAAAATCCATCAAAATTTTTAAGTGTATTAAAGTGGTAAAAAAATTTAAAAGAGTTTTTTTTTATTTGAGTTTCAAATATTTCTAATATAAAAATACGTTCTGTCTGACTACATACTGACCTCTACTACTTAAAAATAGAATCTATCAATATTTAAATGTATAAAATTGGTAAAAAAATTCAAAAGTATTTTTAGGTTTTAGTTTTAAATACCCAGTGCAAGTTTAACATAAAAATTCGAACTGTCTGACCACATATTGACTTGTTCTACTTAAAAATAGAATCTTTCAATCTTGTTGTATACAAAATTGGTAAAAAATTTCAAAAGTATTGTTAGGTTAATAGTTTTAAATACCCAGTGCAACTTTAACATAAAAATACGTTCAGCCTGACCAGATATTGACCTATTCTACTTAAAAATAGAAATCTTGGAAACTTTAAGAGTAACCTTTCTACGACAAAAGTGATAAAATTTGCAAATATATTCTTAGTTTTTAGTTTAAAAATTTAAAAACTTAATGCAAGTCTAAAATAAAAATGCGTGCTGTCTGACCACATGTTGACCTATTCTACTTAGAAATAGAAATCCAGAAAACTTTAAGTGTACAAAATTGGTTTAGTTTTAAATACTTAGTTTAAGTTTAATGCAAAAAAAAATCATTCTGCCTGATCATATATTGACCTGTTCTACTTAGAAATAGAAATTTTTCCAAATATTAGTGTATAAAATTGTTAAAATATTCGAAAGTATTTTTAGGTTTTAGTTTTAAATATTTAGTGTGAGTTTAATATAAAAAATCATTCCGCCTGATCGTATATTGATTTGTTCTACTTAGAAATAGAAATTTTTCCCAATATAAGTATATAAAATTGGTAAAATATTCGATAGTATTTTTAGGTTTTAATTTTAAATCCTTAGTGCAAGTTTTAACATAAAAAATCGTT